AAAAAGTTTAGACCTTTTGGGAAAAAGACCGATTGCATCATTACTGTTACACTCACCATAATGTAAGACTCTTTTTTACAAGGTACCTACTTCCTCATTGGTTGATGGTTTCTAAGTCTGAATCCTAGCTCAGATCTGAAAATTTGGCAACCTATTTTGTCCATTTTTTTTTTTTTATTAAAATTTTTTTTTTTTTTTTGAGACAAAATCTCAGTCATCCTGCTGGGTAGAGTGCTGTGGTGTTATAACTCACAGCAACCTAAAACTCTTGGGCTCAAGCGATCCTGCTGCCTCAGCCTCTCAAGTAGCTGGACTACAGGTGCTCACATAATGCCTGGCTAGTTTTTCTATTTTTATTAGAGACAAGATCTTACTCTTGTTTAGGCTGGTCTTGAGCTCCTGAGCTCAAGTAATCTACCCGCCTTGGCCTCCTAGAGTGCTAGGATTACTGGCATGAGCCAGTGTACCCAGCTATATTTTCTTTTTGAAATAGAGAGTTGTGCTGAAAGTTAGGGAGTTGCTGAGGATAAAGAAAGAGGGACTTGGCTGGGAACTTAATAGAGAATTGTCAGGAAGTATTTAGGCCCAGTTGAGGTTAGTAACCAGTATGGTCTATCCGGTTGTGGGATTTTTTTTCCCTCATTGGATATACTTAGTAGCCTGGGTGTGGAAACGGAAATCTAATGGTTTGACTGATCTGGGGTTGGGGTTTTATTAGGTTAGTGAGTAGAGAGTACAAGAATAGTGGTAAAGAAATAACTAAGATGATGAACTGTGGAGTCTGAGCTCTAAAGAGAAGAAATTGAAAATCATAGAGAGGAGTGACAGATTAAGGGGAAATGGAGGAATCAAGGAAGGCTTTGTGAGCCTTACTGAGTTATTAATGCCTAGTTCTAATATAAATCATTATTGTCCATTCTGAGAAACATAATGTAGAATGAACAAAGCAAGTTTTAGGATTCACCAGACTCAAGAAGTGATTACGGGCTCGACGCCTATAGCTCAAGCAGCTAACGACGCGCCAGCCACATGCACCAGAGCTGTTGGGTTTGAGCCCAGCCCAGGCCTGCCAAACAACGACAACTATAACCAAAAAATAGCTGGGCACTGTGGCGAGTGCCTATAGTCCAAGCTATTTGGGAGGCTGAGGCAAGAGAATCACTTAAGCCCAAGAATTTGAGGTTGCTGTGAGCTATGATGCGATGGCACTCAACTGAGGGCAACGTAGTGAGACTGTCTCAACAAAAAAAGAGAGAGAACAGGTGTAGAAGGAGTAAAGAAAGATAAAATTGGAAAGTATAGTTACAATCATATAATGGATTTGTGAAGTCTAAGATTTCAGAAGTAGGATAATTTAAGATGATGGCAGAGTCCACGTCTGTGTTGCATGAATGGGGTGTAAGCATAGGGTACCATAGCATTGACATCACCAAGAGTCATGTCTTGATTTGAGATAGACATTGATATGCCAAAGTCTTCAGTGAATATGGAAAACTGACCAGATAATCCATTCAAGATGAAGTAGTATTTTGAAGCAATAGATCAGAGTTTGGAGAATGGTTTTTTCCTAAAAAAAATTGTTAATGCTTCATCATCTAGGCTTTCAGAAAAAGAGAAGGAACAGATATCTGAGCAATTGAACTCCCTAAATAAGACTTATCATGACCTCTGTGATGGTTCAGCAACCCAGCTTCAGCAGCTTCAGAGCCAGCTGGCTCAGCAGACAGAACAAAAGGTACTTTTAGTGTTTATTGCCAAATGTTGGGAGGATACCTTCTGAATGGTGTAAAAGCAGCTTTGCTGATTGAGAGTCATGATCACTAGCTTTCCATGACCAATGTGACTTAATTTTTAACCTCACCTTAGCAGCCATTTGTCTTGTGTTTCTTTACAGGGGTTCCACGATGTGTTGGTCAGTCCAAGACACTAAAAGGCACTTATGGCCAAACCTTTAGATCTGGTTCACCTTTTCTGCCTTTTGTCATTTTGTGACAGCAGTCAAGGAGAACATAAATTCTATATTACTCCTTTGTGGCATTGTCACTCAAAGTTGACAGCCAAGAGTGGATATTGGGAAGAAAAAGTTCTTCCCTCCATACAGTGAACAATGAGATATGTTCATTTCCAAAGTAAACTGGTGGATTAGTTTCACTGACTGAGACGCTGGTTCCCCTTACCCATAGTCATCTCATCATGTGGCATCTTTACCAGTTCCCTCTCCATGTTCATTCCCTAGACCATATGAAAATCAGAGTTCCTACTGATTGTCCTAAGTTCTTCCTGGATACGTGTGTGTGTGTGTACACTTACCATATTACATACATGTGTCTCTGGGATATATATGTGTGTTTGCCTGCTTATTTCCTATGTTGTGAAGCAGTGGCCAACTTAGGTGGGGCAGGCCGAAATTTAACCTCATGCAATAATCAAATTTGATCCATACGATGTTCAAAATGATATTCAGACAAAATATGCCTTTACTTTGGTCCTTGGCTATAAAATTTGTTCAGCAGGAGCTAGAGTTGACCACAAGACAGAACCAGCTGTAATTTGATGATATATTTCCAAAAAGAATGTGCTGGTATAGCAGTCTCTCTGTAAGGTAGCCCACTTCTAATGGCTTGTTGCTTCACCATATAAGGGAGTACGTGAAAAGTTTTAACAATTGCTTGCTGAGAACTGAGAACATCCAGTTCTCATTTTGAAAGGTTAAGAAAGGAGGGTGGGGGAGAAAGAAAGAAAGACAAGCTTCTGAGCACCACTACATTGAGCATGATGTGTCCCCTGTACCGTTTGTGTGTTTTCATGTGAAGTATCGTTCTGATTAACTGACATCCTTGCTTACAAGTTTCACTAACCCTTTGGAGTTTAAGCACAAATGCACAAAGGGAAAAGAGGACGACCTGTTTGGGGTTCTTTTTTGCAAAAAACAAACAGTCGCATGCTGGACGCTAACACCAAGCTTACACTGTGTGTGTGACACGGCTGAGCTGCTCCATAAGGCTCTATCTCTTATCTGCCCAAGGCGTGCTCTGCAACTCTGGTAAGTAGAAGCTTTTTTTATGTTTTCTTTCCTCTTCTCCCTCAGTCTTTTAATGCTTGTTTAGGTCAGAATGTCCATGTTTGTTTGGATTGAAATGTATATTTCTCTGGATTACTTCCCAGCTCAGTGCTTCCTGCTTATCCTCCAACTATGAGGGTCCTGGAAGGAATAGTGTAGTCTTCTCTTTGGCTAGACTCCAGGCCTTTCTTCAAAGTCAGCATTTCTGAGGCTCCATGAATCTCATAGAAGATTTCAAAAGAATCTTTTTTTTTTTTTTTTTTTGAGACAGAGCCTCAAGCTGTTG